AGAACAATGGCCAAGGTATTTGTCTAGTTTTAAAGAATAATCAGTTACAACACCTTTTTAAAAATAGACGAACATAAGAAAGCTTCGAGGGTTTCTTAACAAATCACTAAGCTCCCTCCCATGCCCAGTATTTGGCCTACATGAATGGATATGGCTGATGGCAAGTAGTATAAAAATACTTGCCTGACAACTTATAGCAGGACCTACATTTCTGGCATGTAATCCTGTAACAGTTCCCATGTCTCACAAAAGAACAGATTAACATACGCTGTTTGTTTTTTTCTCGGTGGCCTCTGGCAAAACTGTAAACTTAATATTTTGTCACTTTCCTCCCTTTTTTCACTTCTTGCCAAAATCAGATCCAAATTCTAAATAAGATTTTTGCCTTGTCATGACATTGACTGAATTTTCGGAATATATCACTGCCTACAGTGTAGCTTCCGTAGTATTAGAGTCACTTAGAATTTTTGAAGACCTTCACCCTCGCGTCTGGAACAAAGTGCGCAGTTTCAAAATTGCAGCTATTATTACTTACATAGCGTTATTACTTACTCTTCCTATGAAACAAAACTTTATTCTTTTCTTTCAAGTGCTCGATCACCTCAGTGGCTCAGAGGAAAGTGGTGGGCGTTAAAAAAACGAGTTCCGGACTACAAAAAGTTAGACTTCAGGGGTGAGTAGTTAGCTTAGACTTTCACTTACAAGGCTCGTGACGTCAGTGATGTAATGGTCCCAGCTTGATTTTCTTTGTTAAGAAGCTCCTTGTTTTACTTAGACCTTACTCAATGCTTAGACTTCATATGCCAGAGTATTTTCAAGATGGCTAATTTTGTTAGGTTTTATATCTCCTTTGATGCTGTACAGACACGATGTGTTTTATGCATCTTAGTGTTTCAAAAACTAGTTTAACAAGACAATGCCTTCTTGAACTTACTTAGCTAGTCTCTACACAGCCGTGCATTGATTAACGTAGTTTATTGCTTGGCAGGTATTTTGGACTATTTACACACAACCTATTTAGATGCACTTAAAATCAAGATCGACCGGCAAACCGTCGCCCTTGCATCTACATTTACAGTTGGGGCCAATCCCGTATCTTTGCACGGCAATGATCGCTTCACTAGTCATGTGACATTACCAGGGATAGCTACAAACACATCTCACGCTGATTTGCAAGGTATATTTTTTATCTGAGAACGCGCCTTTATTTTGTTGTCCTTTTGTAAGACCAGTTCGTTTTTCTTGATTTCTGCACGAGAAAGTCGATCATGCAATAGATTTTTGGCGCATCCACTGCCTGGGTTAAAAGAAAAATCTGATGGAGCAGTGGGAGTGTTGGGGGCTTTATCCCAAAGAAAATGTTTCAAAGGCACGTTCTTCAAATTGCTAGATATTTTTTTCTGTTTTGCAGACCATTCGGGAACATCCTTTAGATTTTGTTTACGCTTTAGGGATTTTTTTAAGAAAAACTTATGCTGGTAGAGCTATTACAAAGTAATGGCACAGATTCTACTGCAAGCTGTTATGCTTGGTGCAAGAAAGATCTTTGGAAGGTAGGCCAGTTATAAGAACCATGATATAAAACACTAGACGGCAACAATGATTATTGTTATGATTATTATACTTGTTCTGGTCCTGTTTCAGATTCTTTGGCAAGCAGTCAGCCGTTGATCAGCACTTCAACAATCGATTTAGCCTCGTTGCACGGGTATCAACTACAACTCCAATTAGCCTCACTTTCACCGCATCAGTTGGTTATACCAGTTAGCTCCAGTAGTATCGGTTCGAATCTGACGGACCATTTCATTATACCCGTGAACATGACGCCTGCAGTGATCACATCGTCTGCTGACCAAACCTCCACGCAGGCAGGTTTCATTGTTCAAAATGTAAGCGCAGCTACAGATAATCAAGGCGTTGTCGACAGCCCACGTGGTGTAGAATTGGCTCAAGCATTGGTGCAAACCGATTTGAGTATACCAATACCAGCTAGAGATATGACGCAAGAGGATCTTGCTTCTGCTAACATCCAAGGTAATCATGTTTTTGTAGCCCTTATCCTCTTTCGTCCAAACAGCTCAAATTCTCGTCCAAACACCTGCCATTTGATACAAGAAAATTGTTCTATCAAAACTTCATACAAGTCTATTTTGATTACGGCAGTGTGGTTTGGGGGTCTTCTACGGAGATATCCTCGCTGTTGAAGCTTCAAAAGAGAGCAGCTAGGTTGATATGTGACCTTCCAGACCGTGAACATTCAGGTCCACTGTTTAAGAAACTGAAATGGCTGCCCATTCAACGAAGAATTAACTTCAAAACAGCCATAGTAGTCTACAAGGCTCTAAATGGACTAGCTCCAAAATATATGACTGATTTGTTTACTCATCAAAATCAGATTAAACAGCGATTGACGAGAAGGTCATCACACAGAAACTTGTATGTGCCCAGATCAAAACTGAAAAAGGTTGATCAGTCAATAAAAGGAAGTGAAATATGGAATGAACTTCCACTTGACATTAGACAGTCAACATCACTGAGAATTTTCAAGAGAAAAGTGTATCAGCATAACCTTGACGTTTCAGATTTAAATTCTTAAACTTTACTTCAAACAAAATTGTTACTAGGCTTTTTAGAAACTTAAAGGACACTTGTTAAAAAAATAGTGTTATATTCTTATTGCGTAGTTAGTAGAGACGACCCTGAGGAAGATTAGTTATTAGGCTAACCAGGTTTATCCTCTTTAAATAAAGTCTATCTATCTATCTATCTATCTATCTATCTATCTATCTATCTATCTATCTATCTATCTATCTATCTATCTATCTATCTATCTATCTATCTATCTATCTATCTATCTATCTATCTATCT